GTTCGAGAATCGGAGCTCAAACGAAGAAGTTATGGATTTTTGAAGATTGTTCGCCGCAGCGGAAATATTCCCACGCCGTAGCGTAAAATTGCAAAATGGACAGAAACTTCATGCCGCAGCACCAATAAATCATGTTGAAACGCAATGCAAGAAATTTATGTTCGGAAATTTTTCTGTCAGAACATACTGTACAAAAATGATTATAACTAAAGCTACAACTCTGATTGACCTGGTTCTGGTGGCGTTTTAAAGCTAAGAGATAGAGCTACAACTTTTATATGGCCCAGTTAGACCTGGTTGATGGTTAAAAATGGAGATGAAAATTACGTTAGTGATTGCAGATGTGTAGATTTGTTATTATGCATTTTTAATTGAAGTATAACTTTTTACCATAATACCCTCATGACTTCAATATTATAAATAGATGTCCTTAGCAGTATTTTAGGGAGCTAGGGTTTATAATATCAAATATAATTAGGAAGAGGCAAGGAGAGGAGATCTTACCTAGGGTTTCATCTTCTTCTTCTTCTTGTACTTCATGCTTTTCAAGATTTTAAGGTTTGATTTCCTTATGCTCCTATGCAACTAAATACTTTTCTAGGATCCAATGTAGCCTAATAAGAAGGTTTTATGTCTTTATTAATTCTATTTGTCTTATCAATCCATTGCAATTCTAGTTTTATTCATTATCCATTATTTAATCTTTAATTGATGTTATTGTTTGATCACCTTTAATGTTAATTAATTGATTATGTGAGATGAGGTTAGACTGCACACCCTAGATAATCTTGAATAGCTCGTGTGAGTGAATGATTAGTATTTTGTGCATACGCCCTGACAAAATGCTAATTGGTTCATGATTTCTTGAATGATTAGTATTTGTGCATACGCCCTGACAAATGCGCCTTTATTCTTGATTTCGAGTGCTCTTGTGTTTAATGGGTTTTTAATCATTAGGCTAGACTATACGCCCTAGCTAGTCTCATGTTAAAGATACTAGGTTAATCTCGAACGCCTTATGGTAGTACCTTAATTATGTGAGTGTGAACCCTAGAAATTAGATTGTGATAACAATAGTTTGATAGTTGGCATAAAACTGGATTATTATGGTGAAATTGGATACCTGAGTTGTAGTTCATTGGTTCTTAAATTAGTTTTTATTGGTGTTATTTTGGCTCAGTTAGTAGTAGTTAACTTTTATTTTCTTTTTACATTTAATTTTAATCACTAGTTCTTTAATTTGCTTGAATTTATTTGTTTAATTAACGCATATTTATTAGGATTACTTGATAACTTACAAATCTCTGTGGGATCGACCGTTACTTTTGCACACTATATTGCGATAGCAATTTGTGCACTTGTGAGAAAGTAAAATTGTTCAAGTAGTAAGGGCACTGTTCATCAAAGTTCTTGTGCATATTCTCCTCAACAAAATGGTATTGTTGAGAGGAAGCACATACGCATTTTAGAGGTTGCTAGGGCCTTAAAAATTCAGTCTCACATTCCCACTTATTTTTTGGGGTATTGTGTGCAAGCAACAGTATACATCATTAATAGACTTCCTACTTTAGTTCTTAAAGGTTTATCTCCATTTGAAAAAAAAAAAAAAAAAAAAAAAAAAATTTGCAAAACCACCTCCATTGGATCATTTAAGAGTATTTGGATCTTTGGCTTATGCAACAATCCTTCCTTCTACGGACAAACTATCCCTAAGAGCTGTCCCATCGGTTTTCTGGGCTATTCTCTCACACAAAAAGGATACGTTCTTTACAATTTGTCCTCTCATTCTGTAACCGTAACCAAGGATGTTGTTTTCTATGAAAACATCTTCCCTTTTGCCTTGCCTAAATCTTCCCATGTTCCTTTTCCTATTGATTCTGATTTTCTTGCTTTAGAGTCCAATCATTCACCTTCTTTAGATAATGTTCCAACTATTGTCCAGACTTCAGATTCTATAGCTTCTATTGTTCCCTTAGTCTCTCCTCATTCCTCTAATCCTAATTCTATTCACACAACTTCAGATTTTTTTCCTTCTCCTGTTGTCCCTCTTATTTCTCCTCTTGTTCTAAGAAGGTCCAATAGACATACTAATCCACCCATTTGGACTCATGATTTTGCTTATCCTTCAATTACTCATAACTCTTCAGCTCATCTCACACAATATCCCATCACTGATTTTGTCTCTTATGCCACTGTGTCCCTTCCTATAAAGCTTTTTTGTCCAACGTTTCTTTAGTAGAACCCACCAATTTTCCTCAAGCTTCTAAGGACCAGAATTGGGTTGCTGCCATGCAAAAAGAAATTCAGGCCTTAGAGCACAACCATACTTGGTCTTTAGTGCCTTTGTCTCCGGCAAGGTTCCCATTGGTTGCGAATGGGTTTACAAACTTAAGTATAAGGCTGATGGAACTTTGGACAGATGCAAGGCACGTTTGGTTACTAAGGGATATACACAGTAGGTCAAAATTGATTATACTGAAACCTTCTCTCCTATTGTGAAGATGGTTACTGTTAGGACTATTTTGGCCTTCGCTTCCATGCACAATTGGCCTCTTTATCAACTGGATGTTGATAATGCTTTCTTGCAAGGGGATTTACAAGAAGAGATTTATATGACATTGCCCCAAGGCTTTCCAAAGCAAGGGGCCAAGATATTGTGTGTAGGCTTCATAAATCTCTCTATGGTTTGAAACAAGCTTTTAGAGCCTGCAATTACAAACTAATCACAGCCCTTTTCGATGGTGGATTCCAGCAATCAAAGTCAGATTATTCCTTATTTCTTAAGCAGCAACATTCTTCCATTGTCATGTTGTTAATATATGTAGATGACATTGTAATCACCAGGAATAATTAGGATATGATCAATCAAACGAAGCAATTGTTACACTCTAATTTTAAGATAAAAGACTTAAGGTTGTTGAGGCATTTTTTGGGTTTTGAAGTGGCTAGATCTTCTAAGGGAATCAGCCTCTGTCAGAGAAGATATGCACTAGAACTTATTTCAGAATCCGGTATGTCTGGTTCAAAGTCATTTGTTGTCCCTATGGAGTCTAATTTAAAGCTCACTTCAACCTATGATGATCAGTTTAAATCTAACCGTAATCCTATTTATCAAAGATTGGTCAGCAAACTCTTTTATTTGTGCATGACTAGACCTAATCTTAGCTATTCAATCAACCTATTAAATCAATTCATGCATTAGCCCAAGCAATCTCATATGATAGTAGCCCTTAAAGTGGTGAAATATGTGAAGTCAGCTCCAAGATTAGGTACGTTTTTCCCTGCTACCAACACCTTCACTTCATTAGCTTATAGTGACTCTATTTGGGCATCTTGTCTTGTGACAAGAAAATCAGCTACTAGATACTGTGTTTTCCTTGGTTCTTCACTAATTTCTTGGAAATCTAAGCGTCAGGCCACTATTTCTAAGTCTTCTTCTGAGGCCGAATATAGGGCCATGGCTTCAACAGTTTGTGAAGTGATTTGGATAGTACAACTACTCAAGGAACTTGGTTTTTTTATTTACTTCCTGTCACTCTTCATTGTGACAATCAAGCAGCCAACCACATTACTTCCAATCCCATGTTCCATGAGAGGACCAAGCACATTGACATTGACTGCCATATAGTCTGAGAACAGGTCAAAGGTGGCCTCATTAGCACTGCTTACATTTCTTCCTCTGAACAGCCAATTGACATATTAACTAAAGCTCTTGGGAAACATCTTCATCATCATATGTCGCACAAGTTGAGTGTGCTTAATCTTTACCACCCTCCAAAGTATAAGGGTGTATTAGTCAAGTCAAAATGTAATTTATTTATTGTTTGATTAGTTAGTTAGCTAGTTTGCTTATTAGTTTAGTTAGTTAACTCTATATCAGTTGACTAACTAAAGTCAAGGGCAAACCCAAGCCCTCAACTTAAAAAAAAAAAAAAAAAAAAAAAAAAAAAAAAAAAATTGAAAAGTTAAAAAGTTCTAACCAAAAAAGAAAAAAGTTAAAAATTAAAAGGTAGATTTTTTCCATATTCATATTCAACTCTTTCATTCCCCAATACCCATCTTCTCTTTTACACTACCTCCAGACCTTGAACCAGATATTCAAAAAATTCTAGGTTAAAGTCCTGCCTCTCAGCTTCTCTCACTCACATCTCCTGACTCCTAAGTCCTAGCTCTCTCCTCCTCCTCAAAACAATAACAAGAAGATTGGTAATTTGGTATTGTCTTTGGCTCTTTGCTCTTGATTTTTCACTATTTCTAATTAAAATGTTGCATTTCCTTCTTAAGCAAAAATTGGGACATCAAGATAGGGGGAAATTGATGTTGCATTTCTTTCTTTTTACTTATTGCCTCATTGGGATTCCCAATGAGTAAAAAGAAAGAGATTCCCAATTTGGGAAGGTATGGTGCTAGGCAATTTAGGAATTAGGAATTAGGAGATACTTTGGGAGTAAAATACTGGAAATGCATATACTTATTCATATTTTGTCTTCTTTATTAGACTTTACCTAATAGAATAAAATAGATGTGTTAAAATATGCCTTTAATGTGTTAAAATATGCATTTAATGACCACATCTACATTATAGTTGTTGCCTTGTTGGCCACGGGTTGAATTCGCCAAAACTATGCTATTTGTTTTAATTGTTTACATGTATTGGTTTGTTCATGTATCTTATTCAAGAGAAATTTAATTAATTTGCTACATTAATTTTTTTTTTTTATATAGAAATCTCTTTGTCTCTTATTTTTGGGATCCCATTTTGGTACCGACTCATTATATGTTTATTGAAATCCAAAGCATTAACAAGCAAGAATCATTCGAAATATATTTGCGCTAATAAGATTATGATATCCAATTATTTTAAGAGATTGAAGAAAAGTCCAGCAGAAAATGTTGATGGAGACTCTACTAATATAGAGGTTAATCAAACCATATCAGAAGAAGAAGCCCCACAACAGCGACAACAACACCAAGTAAAAGAAGCTTAACCTTCGATCGGGATGTTCAATTTAGATGAGCTTGAAACTGATGCAAGATTGAGGATACCAATTAATGAGCTTTGTTGTACTGTCAAACAAATAGAGGAAGTTCAAAGAGCATACTTGTTGAATAGTCCTTGCCAACCTAAAGATCATAACTTTCCTTTCACTCCTTTCAGAGATAAAAAGCATAGGTTTACATCAGAGTGGTACAAAGAAGGTTCAAGTTGGATGGAATATAGTGTGGCAAAAGATGCAATCTTCTGTTTGAATAATTATCTTTTCGAACCCAATTATGGTGACCAAGCAGGTGGTGAAGTTTTTGTGAATAAGAGATTTAATAATTGGAAAGATAAAACAAAAGTGAAAAAACGTGTTGATGACCATTCTAGTACTAATAACCAATGTCATGGCAAGTGTGTTGATTTGATGAACCAAAGGCAACACACCGATGTAAATCTTGCTTGCGTGTAGAAAAAGGTAAAATTGGACTATCGCATTCGCTTGAATGCACTAATTGATTGCATTAGATTCCTTTTATATCAAGGATTGGCATTTCGTGGTCATGATGAGTTGGTTGAATCTGAAAATCAAGGTAACTTTATGAAACTATTGAAGTTTTTATCCAATCACAATGACGACATAAAGAAAGTTGTGCTGGGAAATGCTTCGAAAAACCATCAAATGATTGCCCCAAAAATCCAGAGGCAGCTAACTAATGTTTGTGCTCATTTTACGACCAAGAAAATTATTGCAAAAATTGTAAGAGATAAACAACCATTCTCTTTACTAGTTGATAAATCTCATGATGTGGCAGTGAAAGAACAAATAGCTATTGTTTTCCACTATGTGGGTAAAATAGGTTATGTTATTGAACGTTTTATTGGGATTGTGCATGTTAAGAATACTTCTGCAAAGTCTTTGAAAATTGCAATAGATACCTTTTTTGTAAAGCATGGATTGAGTTTGACAAGTTTACGAAGGCAAGGTTACGATAGAGCAAGCAATATGAGGGGTGAGTTCAATGGTTTGAAGACTTTGATATTGAGAGAAAATAAATCAGCTTTCTACATTCATTGTTTCTCTCATCAACTCCAACTGGCGCTAGACAAAGTTGTAAGTAATCATTCAGCATTGGGTGAATTTTTTCAATCTCTTTCTATGTTATCAAACACTGTAGCGGCATCTTGCAAGTGCGGAGATCTTCTACGTGATAAACAGATGAATATGTGATATCTTTGATTTCTAATGGTGATCTTCAAATAGGACGCGATTTGAATCAAGAATGCACTATTAAACGACCAGAAGATACACGTTGGGGTTCACACATAGGGGCAATTCATAGTGTCATAAACTTATTTTCTTCTGTTTGAGGTGTGCTCAGAGTGATTGAGATTGAAGGAGATGATTGGCAAAACAAAAGTCAAGTAAGAAGTTCATTACGAATCATGGAGAATTTTGAATTCGTCTTTACTCTTAATGAAAAAAGTATTAGGAATCACATATGAATTGTCACAAGCATTACAAAGAAAAGACCAATATCTTCTTAATGCCATGCAATTTATACAAATTTTGAAGCTTCAATTGCATAAAATGATAAATGAAGACACTTGCTTCAACATATTGTTAGAAGAAGCCTTTGATCTGTGAAAAGATAATGACATACCAATCTTGGAGAACATGGAAGATAATTTTGGGAGGACAAAATGAGGGATTGCACAAATTACGAATAAACATCATTTTAAGGTGGAATTGATGTACACAGTTTTAGATAACATTCAAGAAGAACTCAATAACTGTTTTGATGAAATAAATATGAGGTTGCTTCAGTGTATGGCATCTCTTGATCCAAGTAACTCTTTTGCTGCATTTAACAAAGATAGATTACTTGAATTTGCAAAGTTCTATCCTACCGATTTTCCTCAACATGATATTTGGTTGCTCGATAATCAACTTGAAAACTATTATGAGGATGTTAGCACCAACGCTTCACTCATGTTGATGGGATTGCTGACCTTGCAAAAAAAAAAATGGTTGAGTTTAAGAAGGATGTTGCTTACAACAAAGTTTTCTTGCTTATTAAATTAACATTGGTTTTGCCTGTGGCTACTACAACAATTGAAAGGGTGTTCACTGCAATGAATCTTGTTAAGATTACTTTGCATAATCGAATGGGAGATGAGTGGATGAACAATTGCTTAGTATTTTACATTGAAAAGGAAGTTTTTGCTACAATTCAAAATGAAGATATCATTGAACATTTTCATAACATAATGAAGCGGAAAATCGTATTAAATTGAAGCTCTTCATGTTTACTATTCTAACTTGCTTTCATCTTTAAATAATCAATATTCATATATTTAGATCTTTATATATACCATTCTAACTTGATTTTTGGGTCAATACGCAGAGGATATGTGAATCTTTAATCTAGACGGTTGAGTTGGAATATTAACGTTTGGATCTGGATTTGGAGTGATTGTAATACATCTCTTTGTAAACCTTTATGTATCTTTTTTTTTTTTTTTTTTTTTTTTTTTTTTTGTTAGAGTTGTGATTAGGCTCTAAATTTGTGTAGAGTATTTTTGGTGGATTTGTGGTTACTGTAAACTCTTTTGATTATATTGGATTTAAGTTAATCGTTAGATTCCCGCGGTTTTTTTATCTCTTCACATTGAAGAGGTTTTTTGACATAAAAATTTTTTTGTGTTTCTTTGTGAATTGGATGTTATTTTCTTGTGTTTTCACTAGTTGATTGACAAACAATAGCGGAGCCAGGGGAACCCGGGGCAAAAATCTTTGGTCTGCCATTGACTAGAGTTATTGTTTTGTATATAAAGAAAGTATTCATTCAATGAAAGAGTTAATTCATTTTTCCTCAATTTTCTCCTCTGTATCATTTTCGCACTCTTCAACAGATGTTATTAATGCTTCTTAAGAGTCTACCCATCTTACCTTCAATTCAACGGTTAAGTGGCACTCATATATAAGGCACAAGTTGAAAGGCATGCACGTTGCCCGGGTTCTTATGAAAGTGGTTTTGACACCAAATAAAAAATCAATAAATTAATTAAAGAACAAAATAATAATAGACCATTTTAGTGATAGGAATATATTCTCTTCTCAAAGCAAAAGAACAGGAGTCGTAACACTTTTCTTAGGACAATTTGGAAAGCATTTCATCCAAATAAGATATTATGAAATTTAACTGCAGGTCAAGATTCATTAGCCAAAACGGAAATTAAACATATCCCAGCAAAAATTCTATGACTTTTGCGTAGCATTTGCAAAACCATCGTACTACAGCTTTCATATAAAAGAATACAAAAAGATAGAATTTAAGTCTTATCAATAAGCTTAAATTGTTAGACAACTCCATAACAAAATATTAGTAAGGAGAATCCCATTTAACATGTTTATATAATAGAAAGATCAAACAATCATAGAAATCAAAACCCTTAAACTATACTCATTAGTTTGCACTCTAATCATCGTCGAGCTCATCTTCAATGTCATGAGCACTCATTCTCATTGACACTTGTTTTTCCCATTTCACGATCTTCTCTGCCTCTCGGCTAACCTTTTCTTCCTCCTTCATTGCCTTCTTTGGCATCTTTTGCTGCTCTTTCACTAAGAAAATACCCAAATTTGATAAGAACTCATCGTTTTTACTAATCACTAATTGATCTCTACAGTTGTTCATACTGTCTACTTGTATCTTTGGAATACAAATAAAGAGCCTTTGGATCCTAATCCTAGCCTGATCTTCTCATCTATACATGTGATATGCAGCTTAACCTCACTCTCAGCACCGTACTGGAACTCTAACCCTCCAACTTTGAGTTCTGGCGATTCAAATATAACTTGAATCCATTTGTCATCCAAGGCATAGTTCGTGCCAATGTGCATATAAGGAAGATACATCAGTAGAAGTTGCAAAAAGGCAATAAGTAATTTGTTTCACGATTCAAAGTAAAATGATTTGCATGCTCTACCTTTGAAAGAGACTTCTCCATCAAGAAAACCCAAAGCAGTGAAAGAGACACTATTTTTGACAATGTCAAGAGCTTCAACAACTGGAACCATTTCCTTTGCTTTGAAGAAAAGGCGCCCCACTGCACTTCTGTAGCCATCCCCAGGAGATGTTGGATTCGAACAGTAAACCACATCACACTCTGAAAAAACATTTCATCTATTAACCCCCAAATCATCCAAATGTAATCAACAACTGTAATTTCAAATAAAGAAGATGCATTTCAAAATTCCTAACAACAGAGCGCATCTATGGTCTCACAGGAACCATTCATTGGTAGGATTTTTCTCTAATTAAAATGCCTTTTTTTCACCTAATTTCGTTCATCATATTTGTTTCCATTGTAAGCCTTAAATTTTCTGGGCATGCAGTGCATTTTCTTTCCAAGGAAAGTATCTAGTCCGTGAAGCTAGCCTAGAACAAAATCTTCACTAAAATAAGGTAATCTGAGTACAATATCTAACTCCACAGTCAACATGCATTGAGTTCTAAATTCAAAAATAAATTATGAAGCTAAAATTTACCTCCAAAGATAAGAGAGCATTTTACTGGTTCGTTAACACAATCTTACTGCAATTCCTTAGCAACTTTAGCAACCTCCTTGTGTCCTTCTTTAGTCTGGGACCCCAAGTCTCACTAATTGTCGTTAATTGAACTATGCAAGTCCAAAGCAAAACCAATGTCGTAGCTGTATCATCCAAAGCTTCATTCTGGAACCGCCACCACTCTTCAGTTGCTGCTACTTTTCTCCCGTAAAAATCCCTCCTCCTCCTCCCATCTGTCTCTTTCACTCAATGTTTTAAAACCCAACCCGGGGTGAAACACGGTAAAGTTTTCAGGTCCCGGGTTGACCGGTTTAACGGTCAAACCCGTTGACAAAAAATTTTAAAACTATACAAATACACGCCTGAAAATTACCTCCAAGTCCCTACATGTTTTAACTTTATCAAACACACCCAAATGAAAATCGACCGGCGACTGATCGACAGCGACAACACCCCAGATTCAATCTCAATCGTCCCCTGAGCCCATTTCCATTAAAATCTACCCAAGATTTGGCCGAAATGCCGGCGTAGGTATTCCAGGCCAGATCTCTTCCACGCCGGCACCGACAAACCTCCCCATCACCCAGGAATTACTCCCTTATTCCTCCCGACCAAAACCCACCTCGCCCCACCCCCGTTAGCCTCACCAATCGCCGGAAAAATCCCATTGTTACTGCTGCCAGGTTTGTTCGATTTTCGGTCGATTTACTCACCGAAAATCAACGCCGTCACCACCATTGTATTCACCGGAACTTAGTCTTCAAAAGACCTAACCTTCCAGCTGTTGATTGTTTGCCAATCATCCTCCCAAATCTTAGGGTTTTGGGGTGAATCGGAAAAATTAAACCTGACTCGTTGAAGTTGCCGGGTCCCGGTTCAATCGGCCGGTCCGGACCAGGTTTTAAAACAATGCTTTCACTCACTCTTCTCTACCTGCACATTTACACATCCAAAAAACCAGCGATGTGATTTTTATTTTAAATTTCTTCTATCAATGTAGCATCCGATATGGTAAGAAAAACCTAAAAACATCCTACTCTTTTTGGCTATTTGTTTGTTTTATTAGAATCTTCCAGATCCAAACCTTCCAAAATTAGGATCGGCAATATGATCCTTTAATTTTACACCAAAAGTTTTCCCTAATTAGCACGCTTTTCTCTCTATCACACATATTCCTTCACTCAATTCGCGCTAAAATCCCTAATTTTTACTCACCTTACACAAAAAACACATCTAATTTTCTTTCCTCAATCTTCAACCACCGACCAAACCCTAAACTAACTCCATCAACAAATTGAATCAACCAATTTTTTCTTGTATACCAATAAAAAAAAAAAAAAAACCTTGATTTCAACCACGATCAAACCAAGTGGACGGAGGTTACTCCCGCCAAAGAGTATGAAAGCACAAGTACACTATCAGAAAGAGTTGAGAGAAGAAGTGACAAAGAAAGATGATATCAAGATATAATAAAGCTTCAAAATTAAGCTAAGTATGAATTATTTACTTACAACTTCATCAGCTTCTCTAGGGAATGTAATCTTAAATCCATTTTGTATACCCTTCTCAACTACTAATTCCAACACCTTCTTCTCTTGAACAACCTTTTCACCCTAACAAGCTGTGCAGCCATCCTTGTCGCTAATAGTTTCTCC